AAACATATGGTCAAGTTAGCGTTCATGTTTGAGGGCAGAATAGCAGAACTTTGAAGTTTCAGAAAAAATAATCAAATACTTCTAGAGAAATAAAATATTAAAGATGTTAATGGGAAATAAAAATGAGTTAAATTTCAAAAATTCATCATTGAGAAGTTATAATAGAAAAGAATCAGCAGTAAATACAGAAATCAGAAAGGAAAATCTTCAAAAATCTCCAAACACTATTGAGAGAAAGATTGATGCTACTAAGACTAAATAATTAGTGTAACTATGGTAACTAACCTAGGATGCAAATGACTAAATATGCTTTGAAGAAAAAGAATACTTAAAAAAAAAAACAGGGTTTGCAATACATCAGGTAGAAGAATTACATCAGGTTAAGAATACATCAGGTAGAGGAAAAAAAGAGTAAAAGCACTGTTTTTCCTTAAAATGGAATCCAAAGTTATCACTTTTTTTTATTTTTATAAGAGCATAACATATACAAATTTAAGAAATCTACAAAAATTGCTAAATTTGCCACTAAGAATATTAAAATCAAGTTCTCCACTCTCCAAATTATTGAAGAAAATATTGTTTGAGCTTAGAAAACAAAACCTTAAAATATGCTGAAACTTTGACATGCTGAACTAACGAAGCAGCCTCAAGGTCTCTCTGACCTCCCCTCCTTCCCTCCTGTCTCTCAATCTTCTTCTCTCCCAAAACACAGGATGAGGCTGTTTTCTGAAGTGCCCTTATCTACCTAGAAACTGGACCTGACAAAGAGGAACACAATTGCCTTCGATCCCTTCCCTAAAATTTCATTAACCAGAGAAGATTAAAACTCATTTCACAGAGGAAGAGACTGAAAATTAAACACCACACCTAGAGCCCAGGCTAACTTGGTCCCAAACTATTGTTTGCTCTCTGGTCCCAGTCTACAAAGAGAATTATTTACAAGCGAATATCTGTCTCCTAGGTCCATTCATCTCTCCTAATATCATTTACTACCCCTCTAAAATTGCCTACAGCCCTGAATTCCTTTTCCTCTATGAAGAGGGTATTTAAGCTTCAACTATCTGGCTCTTCTGTCTTGGTTTTCATATATTTGTATGGCTCCCATGCTTATATATGTTAATAAATTTGTTATGCTTTTCTCTTGTTAGCCTGTCTTTTGTTATAGGATGTCAGAAATTATCTTTATGATGGGAAGGAATGGGATCACCCACTTTCCACTCCTTCAATACAAAACATTTTCTATGCAAGAGAATATAACGTAGAAAAAGAAGCAGATTTGCTAAAAGAAGTATGAAATTAACATGTCAGACCTAGAAAAATAATTAGAATCAATTATAATAAAGTTAAATTCAAAATTAATCATATCATTCAAATGAAAATACCCCCGGGAATAGTTTTAAATGATTATTGTATCGGAGGAAATATAGTCTAAAATGCAGGACTACATAGAAAATTTTTGAAAACTCTAATAGTACAGCTTGGTCTCCTAGATGAATACAGACAATAAAACTGTACAAGAAGTAACAGGGAACAGAAGAGAGACAAATCTTCATGGTCCTAGTAGTAGTTTATTTCTTCTCCCTTTTGTTAAGCTAGCAGAGAGCTGGCTCAAGAGACTTGCGTTGCTCAAGGGAATAACAGGCAAATAACAACCACTGTGTCTCTGGGTCCCCCTTTCTATAAAGGCTCCTTCTGAAGCAGGGAGCTTCCATTCTTCCACACTCGCCTAGACTTTCCTGGCCATCTGCATACATACATACATACATACATACATACATACATACATACATAGGGCAAGACCAGGGCCAGGCTTCCCTCTGATACATGCGATTCTGCACGCCAAAGCCATTCATGCTCCCTCATCTGTGGATAATAAGACTTGTGTGATCTGCCTGTGCTCTGTTTTTCTCTGCTAGTAAAATTCCTCCCATAAACCTTATGTTGAGTATACTCTGCTTTGCTTGTGATGTTATCCATGATTACATTGCACAACAGGAATAGAAGTCAACAATTTATTATGCCAAAGGATATTCATCTGAGGAATGAAAAGTGGATTACATATATAAAATTGATTAACATCATATGTCACATAAAAAGGATACATAAGAAAACTTACGTTATCCCTTTAATGGGATGGCAAAAGGCACTTGATAAAATATTATGCCCATTATACATTAAAACCCTTTAAAAAAGACAAGAAAGATGAGTTCAGAGTTTATTTCAAACTGACATCCAGCATTATGCTCCCTGGGGTAAGTGCTATGGTTTTTTCTCTCAAATCACCAGCAAAGCAAATAAGATTTCTATCTATTTTTAAACTAATAATATTTAATAACTTCTCACCAATTTCATAATTTATAAAAAATGAGAATGAAAATAAATTATGAGAAGTTATGAAAAATAAGTGAAGCCATAATAGAAAGAAACAGGAAATATTTTCATTAGTTTCAGAAGATAAAACGCAGAAAGAAGCTCTAGAAAAGCAATTGATTGAAAAATAAGATTCATAGAGTAGTTCAGCAAAGTAGAAGAGTGAAAGATACATATGAAAATATCAGTTCCAATTCTATATCCTAAAATCAAGATTTCCCATTTAGAATAGCAACAAAAAATTAAGTGGGAATCATTTCAATGAGAAAAGTGAATGACCTATAGGAATAAAACTGTAAACATTTATTTTATTTTTGTGTCTTTAAAAAAAGGTATCTCCATTATTCTTTTATATTTCTCAATAGTGTCACTTGATGCTATTAATCTATAGGTTTAGTTCAATTGAAATAAAACTGTAATGGAATCAATTTTGAATGTTGAGGAAATTAAATTCCATTTATAAGAATAAACAGGCGAGAACATCTTTGAAATTTTTTTAAAGAAAATAACTAGCCAAATCATATATTTAAAACAACTTATAGGCTGGGCGCGGTGGCTCAGGCCTGTAATCCTAGCACTCTGGGAGGCCGAGGTGGGCAGATCGCTCAAGGTCAGAAGTTTGAAACCAGCCTGAGCAAGAGCAAGACCCCATCTCTACTATAAACAGAAAGAAATTAATTGGCCAACTGAAAGTATATATATATAGAGAGAGAGAAAAAATTAGCCGGGCATGGTGGTGCATGCCTGTAGTCCCAGCTACTCAGGAGGTTGAGGCAGGAGGATTGCTTGAGCCCAGGAGTTTGGGGTTGTTGTGAGCTAGTCTGATGCCATGGCACTCTAGCCTGGGCAACAGAGTGAGACTCTGACTCAAAAAAATAAAGAAAGAAAGAAAGAAAAATTATATAAGTATAGTAATTAAAACACTAGCCTGCTTGCCCACAGATAAACACTGCAACACAAAACGTGACTAAAAAGAAATTATATTGCATTTATGATAAAAGAGGCATCACAGATCAAGGAATAATAAAAGTATCATTTAATAAATGGCCTTACTACAATTTGGTGGGAAACTAAGAGAAGAGGGAATCCATGTACATCTTTCTTACATTAACACTTAATAATTAAGTATTATTAAGGGAAATCAGAGAAAATTTATCTGATTATCCATTTTTAGAGAAAGGCCAATTTTCTAAGTAAAAAAAATACCAAAAAAAAGAGAAAGTAATCCTATATTTCACTCCATAAAAATAAACTCCCTTGAAATGAAAAAGTTAATAGAAATTAAAAGGTAAATAAAAGATTGGGTTCAAATTTAGAGCAAATAAGCAAAAAGATAATATCTTTATAAATCTCATTTCTTTTCTAATTTGCATTTATTTGATAACTACTGAGACCCAGCCTTGTCTCACATGTTTACTTACTAGTTGTAATTCTGCCCTGGTGTACTACCTTCTTATGTTATTTTACTAGGTATCTGTTAAAGTCTCAATGTTTTTCTAATCATTCCACATTTGGGAAAAATACTTTAAATAGGTAAACAAAGCAGGAAATACTTTTAGTGTATACAATTAATTAGAAAAGTACCAACTACCACTTGTTATCAAAGAAATGTAAGTCAATGCTACAATAAAAAATCTTAACCTATTAAATTAACAAATTAAAAAAAAAGATAAACCCTAAAATTATCTTGGGTAAAATAGAAATTTTCTCCCATACATACTGGATAATAGTGGAGGCTGAAATTGTAATTAGGAGACCAATTTATAATTATAAGCAATACTTATAAATTGTCATAAAAATCTTAATGATATCCTACCCACATCCTAAAAGCAAACAAATAAATGACCTTAAAATATGTAAAAGTCTATTTTTAAAAGTTTCTAAGTAGCCTTTATATCCCACAGCACAGAAATGGGAAAGTAAATTATGGCCCACATACAGGGAACTCAACGCTGCTGTTAAAATGATGATTATGAAGATTACATACCAGCATGGAAATACTCATGATAATTCTATCATAGAAAAACACAAAAGCAAAATAAAAAATCATGTTCATGGTAGCAAAAGAAAAAATGGAAAGAAATGGACTAAATCAATAAAACAGTAGCTCATTTTTAAACAATAACTCCCCCCAAAATCCGGTTCTTTTAAGTTGTAAACACACAGTCTCTCTAGCTCTCTATGAGCTAGGCTGACACCACAGTACTCTAGCCTGGGCAACAGAGTGAGACTCTGTCTCAAAAAAATAAAATAAAAATGTATTTGATTCAATTGCATTTGGGGCTGGATGATTTTTAAAAAGTATCCAGTTTAATATATTCCAATCCCCATTCCAATCTTCATTCACACATTTCAATCCAACTTTCCAGGCCTCATTCAAAAGTATACAACCATTTCTCCCTTACTCCTTACACCCAGCTGGGGCTAGAACCTGGGGGCTGGAAAGGTAAAGTATTTCTTGTCTCTTTTTATCCCTGCTCTCCATACCTAGATTACAACCTTGGGCCTTAGAGTCCTCTCTCTGTTCCCACTCTCCCTTCCCCTCCAGAGGGGGACTGTTAGGCAGGATTTTAATTAGCTTTTTCTCTTCTGTGGCATCCCCATATGGTCCACCAGAAATGCATACTCACTCTTTGCCATACAGGGATTGCAGTAACCACTCCCGCCTCACTCTTGGGTTTGAGTCATGAATGCAGGAAACTCTGTTATCCATCATGAGTTGATTTTTGTGAGAGATGAGAGGTGCAGATCATTTCAGTCTTCTACATGTGGCTTTCCAATTGTCCCAGCACCATTTATTCAATAAGGACTCTTTTCCCCAGAGTATGTTTTTGTCTGCTTTCTCAAAGATTAAATGGCCATATGAGGGTGGTTTTATATATGGGTTCTCAGTTCTGTTCCATTTGTCTATGTCTCTGTTCTTGTGCCAATACAATGCTGTTTTACTTACTATAGCCTTGTAGTATAGCTTGAAGTCTGGTCAAAAAGTAGGCAAAGGACATGAACAGAAACTTTTTGAAAGAAGATAGACTAATGGCCAAGAAACATATGAAAAAATGCTTAATATCTCTAATCATCAGATAAATGCAAATCAAAATCTAAATGAGATATCACTTATCTCCAGTGAGAATGACCTTTATCAAAACATCTCAAAACAATAAATGTTGAATGTGGAGAGATAGGAACACTCATACACTGCCGGTAAAACTGCAAACTAGTACAACCTCTGTGGAAAGTAATATGGAGATACCTCAAAGAGCTACAAGTAGAACTACCATTTGACCCAGCAATCTCATTACTGGGTATCTATCTACCCAAAGGAACAAAAGACATTCTATTTTAAAAAATCTGCACTAGAATGTTCATAGCATCACAATTCACAATTGTGAAGATGTGGAAACAACCCAAGTGTCCATCAATATATGAATGGATTAATAAAATGTGGTATATGTATACCATGGAGTTCTACTCAGCCACAAAATAAAATGGTGATCTAGCACCTTTTGTATAATTCTGGATAGAGTTGGAGCCCATTCTACTAAGTGAAGTATCATAAGAATGGAAAAACAAACACCACATGTACTCACCATCAAACTGTTATTAACTGATCAACACTTATGTCCACATATACTAGTAATATTCATCATGTGTCAAACAGGTGGGAGGCAGGCAGGAGGAGGGGATGGGTATATTCATAACTAATGGGTGTGGTGTACACTGTCTAGGGGATGGACACGCCTGAAGCTCTGACTCAGGTGAGGCAAAGGCAATATATGTAACCTAAACATTTGTACCCCCGTAATATGCTGGAATGAAAAATTAAAAATATATAAATTACTGAATAAAAGATAAACAATAGTCAAATTATTAAATTTTCTTTGAACCCTTACTAATTACATGCCTTGGTCAGTGTCCGTAAGCTTTCTGAGTGCTGTTTCCTCATCTGTAATAGAAGTAATAAATTATAGATTTCTATATCTTTTATAGGAAGTTGCAGTGAAAAAATAATATGTTTACTGTAAATATTATATCAACACACTATCCTTATTATAACAATTGACTATTTCATAACAGAAACATTCTTATGGATCCTGTTTTCTTTTTAGTATGTGTGAATTGCATTGGTCTTCTAAGTATTGAAATGATCCATAATGAAATAACTAGAAATGAATACCAAAGTCAAAATTTACTATTACAACTTATTCATTGACGCTTATCAGAATATCCACCAAACATTTTTTTAAAGTGTTACCATTTGAAAAAAAAAAAAATGGCAGCTTCTGAGAGTTTTTTTTAACTGAAATTAGTAAAGAGATATAAAGCATCTGAAAACAAAAGCATGTCAAAGCTTTCCTTGTAATGAGCACAAAAGACATATTTGCTGGGGTAGACATTTTAAGAAATTAGTGAAATGAGTTTTGTGTTGAAAGAAGCTTTTTGTTGAAGATTATTGCTTTTATTCAGATTCAGATGAAATTGTTTGCTTTAGTTAGACAATGAATTTCTTCCTCAGGAGTAATTTCCCTGCAAAGTTATTTTTATCAGTGGCAATTTATATCTTATGTTAGGACAGAATGATAATAGAGGCACTTCGCCATAGGTTTTCCTGGGGTGGTTTCCTCAAACCTGGAATCCTTGTTTGCCCAATAAAGTGCAGAAGACACCTAGAGCAGAAGGCATCCAAAAAACTGACCTCTCTGCTGGCTACTCCTTCATTTCTTTTTTCTTACTATCTCTTGTTCCTCGTCTCCCTCCTTCCCCAGTCAACTGCCTCACAGATCACCTCTAGCTGTGGATATGAGTAATGCAATACATGGTGAAAATGTTTAACTCTCTCCCAAGGGAGGGTCTCAATTCTAAAGGAATCTCCCATTCATTGAGGAGGGACCATGTTTGAGCAGAGGGACCTCTAGTGCTCTTTGCCTATTCAAATCTCATTCCACCCTTTTGCTCTTCCCCTACCATGCAAGGAAATGGATCTACCTTGTTTAGCAGCCTTCAGTCCCACAGCCTCCCCTCTTCCTTTGCTGCCTTCACTCTGGCTTTCGCTGCTCAAGAGTAAAAGCATCATAGCAAAACAAAACACCACATTTATGTGAGGAGATGAAAGCAAAGCAAATATTTAAAGGTTCTAGGCATGCGTCTTCTTTACATATTTCCTAAATGGGAAAATACATATACAGTGTCCAGATAAACATTAAGAAAATAATTTTGAAATGTATGCTGTTCAATTTAAATATAATATTAGTAATAAAGTATGATAGTTCAATGAACATGAAAATGTTTACAATGTTTTCCAGAATTATTCAATTTTAATGTTGAAAAATCATTCAAAATTATCCTTGCGTCTTGTGTGTGAGGACCTTCGGTGATGAAGTGACTTGTCCAAAGGATTTAGATAACTCAAAAAGATCTCATCTCTCCCAGTCCATATGTGTATTTTATACAAGATCACACACCATTTGGGTCTCTTACACATCTTAATAGAAAATTGTTGTTGAAATTTTCAACTTGAGACCTACCTGGGGCCATTGTAACTCCCTTAAGGATCAAAAGAGATGAACAAGAGAAGGAGAGAAACCAACAGCATTTCCATCCTTCAGCAGACCTCATATTCTCCATATCATAACTAGTGACATCATCTTGGTCCCTTCACTCCCTCACCGTTCATCACCCAGATTTTTGGCATGAACTTGTGACTCCACATTCCTATCAGGTTGCAACATTCATGTCCCTCCAGATTATTCACCTGGTTGCTGAGTATGCTTCACTGTTTCACTGCCTGCCCCTCACCCACTGTGTCCTCACATTCTTACTAAGCATGAGGACCTTGACTTCTATATTTTGGAATTGTCCAGATAAGACTATCCAGTTTCTCCAGAGAAGCACAAAACTTCAGCTTCCCAGTAGTAGCTTGAGTGCCATTCTCATAAATACACAGCTTTCTAGAGGTCCTGGGCCACATGCTGCTCAAACTCCATGAGTCCCTTCTCACAGTGGTTAGAGACCACTGTGCTTGCTGCTCACACATTGCTACTCAACCCAGGAATTGAGGTCACTCCTACTACTTCAGGCAGAGGATACTCACTCGACAGATAAGCCTGAGTCCAGAGAAACGTGATGTCTACACCCTGAGGAGAAATCCATGTCTCCCAGGGAAATCTGACCTTCCCTCCTCATATGGAATACATTGCCTAATACAGAACAGAGACATGGTAAAGGACCAATGTCCTAAGTAGACTATAAATTCACCATCTCAGGAGTCTACACTTAGCTCCTCCCTCCACACACTCTCCCCCTCCTCCTCACTCCACCTTTCACTGAGCCTTGGAGCTCAAGGAATAGGCTAATGGGAGAACACTGACAACGCCCCTTTGCATGACTAAATTCTTCATAGGATAGTGATATTAAATTGGCATTCATATATAAAAATACAGCAATTGTAAGTAAATATTTTCCATTTATATGTCAGATGTGTTTTGATGTCTCTTTTTAGTATTTACTTATGTATGCAAAAATTTTGTACAAATACATGAAATTATACACTGGGCAAACTAAGAGCAATTAATCATAAGACTGTAACTACACTGAATTTATTTCTATGGAAGATACAAGAAATCAGATCTTAGGTGCTGGAATCAAATTGCCTGAGTTCACACTCCAGCTCTATCATTTGCTCCCCCTGTGACCCAGGCAGGCAATTTTACTTACTCAAAACTGGTAGTCCTCATGTTTAAAGTGAAGACAATAACAGCACACACACACATAAACAAGCACATGTAAAACTGGTGAGATCTAAATAAATTCTGTGGACTGTATCAATGTCGGTTTCCTAGTTGTGATAATGTACTACAGTTATGAAAGGTATTTGCTACCTTTGGGTGAAACTGAGTTAAAAGTCCATGTAATATTTCTATTACCTCCTACCACTGCATGTGAATCTACAATTATCTCCAAACAAAATGTAATAAAATAAACAACTATTAAGATGATTTTCTGGGGCTCCTAGAATTAAGTCACGCTGCCTTTAGTTTTCTTCTTATTCAATGAGAAAAATCCCTAAGGAAAAATGTATTTGTAGAAATATAGAGTTGTTGCAAATCCTAAAACTAAAAGCCTGGAATTGATAGGCAAACAAAAGAAAATAGTAAAATTAGGCATTCATTGACAATTTACTTGCAATCTAAACACTGAGTGTGGTGAGCTAATGCTGATTTTTCTGACTTCCTGCCATCAAATCCAAAAATAACTCATCCTAGGCACCAGACATCTACAAGCTAAAAATCTGAAATTAATTGTGCTGGGAACTTTTTACACGTGCGTGTGCACACACATACACAAACAAAGGAAAAGCAGCCAGAAGTTAGAAGGAAATGGGAGCAGGAAACAGATTTTGTTTGTAAATGTCTTTCCTGCCCTTCCCACCTGGCTTACTTACAATGCCCAAAGTTTCTTCTTAGGTCCTCATTTCCTCCAAGTTATTTACCAGAGTTTAAGACTGAGTCTTATAGATCACCAGGGAAGGAATGCTGACTGCCGGTGTTTACCTGGGTAGCATCGGCCAGCCTGAATCAACGAGCCCATGATCCTGTGAGCATTCCAGAGGGCCTGGCATTTGCTTCAATGCTGTTTGCTGGACAAATGCTATTCCCTCGCTGTTGTGATGTTCTGCATTAGTAAACTTACGCTGGTTTGTTTACAAGTTTTCCACCTCATCTAAGACACTGACAATAATTCCCTATGTTTTTCCCTGCCTCTCAAA